GGAGACAAAGTGGACACGACCGTCTCAGAAGACACCAACTGTGCATATGACAGGTGTGTGTGTGTGTGTGTTCCTGTACTCATACCTTTGTGAGGACCATTTTCAGCATAAACCCCGCAGAGTGAGGACGAGTCAAAATGTCCTCACTCTCTCAAAGTTCTGTTTGAGGGATAAGACTTGGTTTTAGTGTTAGAATCCGGTTCAGGTTAAAGTTATTCATTTAGTTTGGATGGTGAAGGTTTGAGAGGAAATGCATTACGCCAGTGAGTGTCCTCACCAAGGTACAAGTACACACATGAGTTTTTGTATGTGGAGCAGCAGGCGTCAACAAGTTCTGTCTGTTTCAGGATCGTGGTTTATGGGAAAACTTTCCTGAAGGCGATCACTCCGTTCTCTGCGAAGGTCTACGACATCGGGAAGCAGCTGAAAATCAGAAAGTCCAAGGTTTGTTCAGAACTCTTGACCTCTGACTCGTTCACTTATTGTCAGGAACCGGTTTGTTTACGTTCTTCCGGGCTCATGGAAGCACAAGATGGCCGACACGAGACGACAGCGTTTGTATCTGCGATGTTTGACTTCGTGTTTGTACGAGAGGAAGTAAAGACACGTTGTCCATATTCATAAACAGTCATTGATCGTCTACATACGATAAACCAACTTTCTTTTGTCCACTAGGTGAAAGAGATTAGTGACCACTACCCTGTGGAGGTGAAACTGAAGAGCTCCGCCCTGCTCCTTCAGGCCACGCCCCTCCTGCTCCTCCTCCTCGCCCACTTCTTCCTGTGACCGTACAGTCCTCACGTTGTTCAGACTCACACCGATATTCTAACCACCGCATTTATTTAAGTCACGTCACCTGGTGTCTGTCACTTGACCAAAGTAAAATGTCGGAATTTTTTATTTTTTTTTTAAAATCACGAACAAACTTTTCCCACTCGACACAAAGTTTAAATTCTCCTTTAACTTCTACGATTGAAAGACGGTTGAATTATTTTCAATTGTTCCGAGAGAAATGAGCCGAGCAGTATTTTAGGTCTCGCTGCTGTGACCTCTCATCCACAGCACCACCTACTGGTGGAGGCTGTTCAAAGTTAAACAGCTCATATACGTGTGTACAGTTCATGACGCATCGTATAAACCAGCGTCTTTAGATTTTTGTAGCAGGTGAATCTCTGTTTTTAAAAATCTAATATGATCATTCATCATCGTTTGTTCGTCTCCGCCCAGAAACTGATGTAAATATATTTGGAAAATTACATTTATGGTTTTTATTGCTTAGTAAAGTTTTGTATGTTGAATTTCTTGAAATTGTTGTCGTCTTTTTACAAAATAACATTTTTTTGTCATAGAAAGTAAAAATACACAAGTTGTGTTGAGCTGAATTCAACAAAGTACCACGAAGGTTCAAACAAGTCAACATGTGAATTTAAGAAGAATCTTATTTCCCCTCACGTCACGGACTCTCACTGTGACGCACATCTGGAACAGCCTCGTGTCCAGATGTGATTTTAACCGGAGTGCCGTGGAGCTGCGCTGTACTCGAGCCGGCCACGTGAGGGCGCTGCTGCAGCTCAGCAGGTGAACTCAACCTGTCGGCGAGGAAGAGCAGCTGCTTCCGAGCAAGATCGTCTAGTGTCGTGCAGATGACTCACTACCTGTAAAACACTGAGTGATGTTTCCTGGTTTATTGGTCCTTCACAGTAAAATCCTCTTGATGAACAAGTTCCTGGTTTGTTTGAACCTGCTGCTGCTGCAGTGAAGAATCATCACAAACTCAAGTGACAAGAAGAAGTTAACAGTTTAATCTCAGTGGAAATACAACATGTGCTAAACTGTTATTTACACTGGAGGTTTAAATATGAGCTGAGACGATCGATAACATCATTTACACCAAATGACACCGTTTGAATGATCTTATGTTTGTGTGAGTTTGTGAAACAGTTAACGAGACTAAACAAGACATTTAGTGAGTTTAATGTTTTCTGATGAATGGATATTAAAAATGAATGAGCTGCAGGTGAAAATCTTAATCTTAAAAGAGATACTGAACAGAACTACATTGATAATGTGAGGCTGTATATGGATTATAATATGAATTCATCTGGTTTTTGTTCAGGATAAGACTGTGAGGCTTTAAAACAACATTTCACAACAAACACA